CGCAAATATTCTTTAATCCTTGTTCAATTCTATTAGCATAATCACTAAAATATAAATTTTTTTCAAACAAATCAGAGTTTTCGGAAATTATCGTCATTGCATCCAGAATTTGCTGTTATATAAATTGATTCGATTTTGAGCATATGAAACGAATGAATTAATTAGTAAACATTAAATGGCATCATAGACCAACTTTCTATTAGGGTGAATGGTACGGCTAAAAATTTTTGGCATACTATTGGCAAAAAAAATCCATACAATAATATACAAATATTAAAGTGCCATACCATACTAATTTCCCTACTCTATTAAATATACTTATAATACAGTACAGTATTTTACTCTAAATGCAGATATTTTTATCATTTTTACAGTAGTTGCATTTAGAAGAAATTGATGTACCGTATAAAAATTATTTAATACCTGTTCTAGTCGTCTGACAAGCGCGACTTTATAGTCGTTAAAATCTGTATCATGTAACAAGGTAATATTTGCCAAATTATCCTTTTCATTGTAACTACCACTTATATTACTTGGCGAATTATTTTTGTAGGTATTCCAACCCCATATATCAACATCATTTGATGAACTACCAGAGTAAAAATTTGTCTGAGAATCAAAGGATTGAGGAGAGTTGTTATGAAAAGTTAGTGGATCATCTACATATAAGTCATTTGCTATATCTCTTCCGCTATCGTCATCGAACAAAGATTTACTACTTGGCCTAGAAGAGACTGGAGAGGAAGTTGAATCAGCGCCAGTTTCCCAGCTCCAATTATTAAAATTTACAACACCACTTGATATCCTAATGTCATTGTCTAACAATGGAATATCAAGTATTGTTGTTCTGCGTCTAGATCTTAGTATGTGACGAGGATTTTTTGACATTGATTCTGGCGCAAATATCCATGTTTTAACAAGATGTAAAGCTAATAGTGGACATCCCATGCTATCATATGCGAAAATACTGCGTAGTACAAAAAAATATTCGGTCTCTGAAGAAATTTCGGATGCACCACGAAGTGTTTGAACAGATTTTTCTTTAAGTTGTTTATAAAGAACTATCAGTGCAGCATCCGGTGATTCTGTAGATATCATTAAATTTGTCGATGAAGAGGTGGGTTGGTTTATGGAAGTATCTAGAAGGGTCTCTAAAGGTACCTACTCAAATTTACGTTATGTTCATATATGGATAAACAACTTAGTCAATGATTAGAAAGGTAAAAATGTATGACAAACCATAATAGCTTTAACAGCCCGATCCCTTTGGTTTAATATCCAAAAAGCAATACTAGCTAACCAACGATCCCCGGTCTTCACAGCTAAAGGGACAACATGGTTTTCAAGTATACTTTTCAAAGTGGGCCCTTCGTCACCTTCGAAATGCATAACTATCGTAAATTAATGAATTACAAAAACCTACAGATAATAGTTATTATTTACCTTCATAAACTCTGCAAATAGCA